CAGTCAACTACATGGGAATCTAGCAACATAGCCATTACACTAACTGCTGATCCCTTGATTTTGAGTTGATAAATATGAAAAAGCTCCTGCCACAGTGACTGGAACACAGTAGTAATCAAGAAATGTTTATCCTCACCTTCCTCTAAAGAAAACTGATGGAATGGGGCCAGAAGGTGGTGTAGTGGTTAAGGTGCTGGACTCCCCCATGTCTGTCAGCAGTTCGAGTCCCAGACCAGGTGGCTTGAAAATCACGCCAGGCACATGTGCATGTGTGTTGTACCCATCCGCCCTGTGGGGATGATTTCTCACTTTCTGTCCCCCCCCCACATACACACACACACACACACACACACACACACACACACACAGACACACACACACACTAGTGCATGTGCCCTTATGGCAAAAAATTGAAAAGAAAAAGAAAACTGGTGGAGATATACCAGGCCCTTACAGTGATCCCCACATAAAGTAAAATCCCATAAAGCTCTCGTTACCTTAACCGAGGCTGGGCCCTTCCAGTTCAAGTACTGCTCGAGCTCTGTGCCCTTTGCTCGGGCCCTGGAGGAGTCAAACACTTTCCTCTTGGAGCCCTGCATCTTGCTGCAGGCGTTGGAGTGTCTCTCCAGTCTGAGCAAGAGAAATTTGCGTCCACAGTGGCTGCACTTGCCCAGTTCTGGCTCTTCAGTGGAACTGCTGGCTCCTGAATCATCTGGTCCCCTGGACAGGCCAGGATCTCTGGTGGACCCCCAAGAAGCACTGCTTGGCACTTCTGAAGGTTGAGAAAATCGCTCCATCGATGGCCCTGAGACTTGATCTCGGATTTTGTTATTGTTTGTCACCAGCTTTTCCCTTTCTAGCTTCTGGATTCCATAATGAGAGAACTGGCATGGACTAGAATTTTCTTGAGACTGTCCCCAAGTTTCATCCTCTCTCTTGTCTCTACTGAATGCTTCCTCAGACCAAAATTCCGGGGAGAAGACAGGCTTATAGGTGGTATTGATGTGGTTACCTTTACCTCTCCTCCTAGGGAGGATCATTCTCTGGAGCTCTTTGTTTTCATTTTCCTCAGGCTGTCCTTTTTCCTTCTGGATCCTTCTGAGCTCCTCCTGTGTCTTCTTCAGCTTTTCCCTCAGGAGAATCTCCTTTCTTCGGATTTCCTTCTCTAAGCTTTCCCCGGCAGCTTCTAGTCTTTGGATCTGCATCCACCCAGTCCTGTCCAGGTGTGCCAGGGGCCTATCCTGGTGCATGGCAGCAGGAACAGTGCCAGCCCCAGATGAATCTGCCCGACTTCTCCAGCCAAAGTCGCTGCACGAAAACTCTCTTGGCTCAAGGGGTCTTGGGTAGGCATTAGCACTAGCCTCACCTGAACTACGAGACTTCCGGTGGACCACGGGTTTTAGTGGGTATGCCCGGTCCACCCCAACTCGCTTCTTTGTAAAGGGGATGAAGTCCTGGTTATTTGCTTTGGGATGCCAGGACTGTGGGCCTGATGAGTAATATGAACCCTTTCCTTGGGCCTCCTGGGACTCGTTTCCTGAATCTTGCTGACTGGTCCCCACGCAGAGGGGATAGGAATAGCTCTGGGCTTTTGTACAGACGTCCCATTTGGGATGAGGGTAGACATTATCCAATATGGGCTCTTTGTTGCTCGAAAGCTTCTGCTGGAAATTGTTCTTCAGGTGTCCCATCGAAGACTGCTGGGACGAGTCACCTTGTTCAAAAGGGTCTTGCTTGGCTGAGCGGAGCCCTGGGGCATCCATTTTATTATGTGGGAGCATAATGCTCACAGGGAGATGTAGGGCCAACTGGAGACCAGCCATTCAGGGCCTGGACAGAAGCCTAGAGGAGATGCAAGCCAGATACACGTGAAGAGTTTGTCTGAGGGTCACTGTGGGCTGCATTTCTCTAAACTGCTCTAGGGACAGTGGATCTGCCAGAGTTTTCCTTCAGTGAGCATTTGGGGAGTGATTACTGTGTGACAGACACCGTGCAGGCCCTGAGGATAGAAAAAGGAAGGCGATACAGGGGTTCCTGCCACTTTCCTTTCCCTTCTGCCATTTCCAGCCTCCGTCATACAGTCTGCTCTGCGGTGGGTGGAGAGAACTTTGAAAATCAGTTTTAAGCCTGTCACACAGAACAAGCAAGTCCCCCTTGCCCGCCGTTTCCACCCCTATAAACTAAAGGGTTCACTCCCTGAGAGTACCATGGTTGGAATTTAGGGACCTTACCAGTCCAAGCCCAGCCCCAGCAGGTGAGAAAACTGTGGCTCAGAGGGGGTGACCTGCGGCAAATGCTCTCGGGGTTTCCCTCCTACTGGAACTGTGCTTGACCCCGGAGAGCGCAAGGACTGCCCAGGGCCTGGAGCAGGTACCTGGCTGTCAAACCCTTGCCCATCGCTTCTCCGTGGCGCAGATGGCGGAAGGTCTGTAATCTAAGAGGTGGGTGCCACCTGATCAGGCCGGGCAGGTTTTTAGATCGGGAACGCGGAAGTCACGTTCTGTCCTAGAGGGTCAAACCAGGTGCCCCCACTGGGGGCATCGCCTTTTGGGGACAAGGCCTTGCCCTCCAGCCCCTCGGACCCTCGGGAGATCAAGGTGTTGACCCCAGGTCTCCCCGCCTTTCCGCGTACCTGAGGCTCTTGGGGACCGCTCCTGTTCAGGGGAAACCCCAGGACCTAGTTTTCCAGAACTGACCCTCCCAACGGACAGCTGCGCAGGCGCGCTCAGCTGGCCTCTGTTATTCCGGTTGCCTGGAGACGCACGCGCGGTTTCTGGCCGGGTATCAGCGGCGGAGGCGCGCGCAGGCGCAGTCCGCCAGCGATCGGGCGCCTGGGGAGGAGGGTGCGGTCAGCCTTGAGGGTCACTTGACCCGGTGTCCCGCCAACTTTGTAGCGCAGTTCGGCCTGCCCTTGGGGAACGGGGAGGGAACGGGAGAGGCTTTTCTCGGGCACCATCAAAGAAGAAGTTGTATTTTCCCGAGCACGATGCTCCCAGACCCTGGGGTGTGTCCCTCTCAGGCAAAGGGCGGTGCCCCTAGACGTGTCCCCGAGTCATTCCGCCGCAGGATGCCGGTGTCTGCCCGCTTAGCGGGAGTGGGCCTGCTGATAGCCTTTCTTAGCACCCTCGGCAGCGCTGTACGGGCCCCAGGTATGACTGTACTGTCTCCGTGTTTTTCCTCCCCAGTACTTTGCGGCTTTCTGTCACAGTTTTTGCTACGCAGTATCTTTCCTGGGTAGCTTTTGTGGCCAGTCTGATTATTTTGATACTGTAATGTTTGACTCTCACATAGTAACTCTGGCTGTCTCTACTTAGGGCCCAGGAATGACTCAGCCAAATGTACGGATAATAAAATTAACTACCAGATCGAAATTAATCAGGCTAACCGGATTTCAACACTAAACAGTACTCTAATTTGTTGACATCAGAAGAGAGTGTATTTATTTGTCTGCTTCATGCTTCAGTTCATTTATGTAAGCTCTTTGGAACAGGCAGCTCACTTTCTTTTTTCCTGTAACTGCTTGAAAGATGTGTGCACATGGAAAATAGTGTGGACACCAGTAGTCTGTGTTAATACTAATTGTCATATTACAGCATTTACATATTACAAAGAAATTCCTTGGTGGGCTCTCCAGGGCAGGCCTTTATTCCTTGTTTTTATTCCCAGCTGACTCCACCGCCCTCTGCAAATATCTGGTTCCAGATACGTCGCCCTCCACATAGGCTGCCCCAGTTATTTCAGCCTGGGGCCTGCCTCTCATCCTCCCACAGGCTCCCTCCAGCCTGGCAGGATTTCCCAGTATGTCCCCCCCTCCTGATTTCCTTCCCTCTTGTATTTGAGGAAGAAGTGTCTCTCTTTCCTTGAGTTCTCTTGAATGAGTCCCTTTCAATTCCCTCTGGGAGTTGGCTGCCTCCCTTTACCCCTCCATCTTGTTAACTTCAAGTTGTACCTCTCCACATATTTCTTCCCTTTCTTTATTTTTCTTCCTTTCTTTCTTTTCAATGTGCTAGAGGATGCATGCACTCACAGTGGGGTAGGGGGTGGGGAGAAAGAAAAAGAGAGGAAGTGAGAAAGAACCCTCCATGGGGCACAGTCCCTCCTCAATCCCGCTCCTCCATTTCTCCCTCCTTTCGTGATTTTGACACACATGTATAAGCCCCCAGCAATGTTTTCAAGCCCTGTCCTGTGGGTCCAGCCACTTTAACCACCTCACCACTGGCTGGTCCTCTCTTTGGTTTTAAAATATGCTTAACTTTTTCCCCTGCCAAACAAACCTTGTTTTCCTTGACTTGCTGCCTTTCTTGTTAGGGTCCCATTCATTGCTCCTTTTCTCCCCAAGACTCCCGGGTTTCTTTTGTTTTTGTTTAATCTTGCTATAAGGTGCTTGTACTTGCTGCAGAGAGATAGAGACAGAGAGAAAGTGAAAAAGTAGTCCCCGGGAGGGGCGTGGGCGTACTGCAGTCCCTTCTCCTCTAGTCATATCTGGGATCTTGAGCATGGATGTGCCCAGCATGTTTCAAGCTGCTGCATCCAGGGCTCAAACCAAGCAGTGGCCATGTGGGATCCTGCTGCCTTAGCTACCATGTCACTGACTGGTCCTGGTTTTTGTTTTTTTGTGTGTGTGTGTTTTTTTTTTAACGTCTTTTGTTTGTTTTTGTTTTGTTTTGTTTTTGTCTCTTTCTTTCTTTCATGAGCGAGGGAGGCAGACAGCGCCCCCAGGGTCTTCATGCTGTATCCATCTCCAACTTCAATCAGCTCCAGATCCTGGGCATGTGTATGTCATTTACTCAGGGAGGTCTCCAGGACACAGAGGCTCTCAGAGCATTGCTTCACTGCTGTGCTACCATCAGGCCCCCACAGACTCCTTGACAGAACAGTCCACAGTTTCTGTCCCCACTTCATCTCCCTCACTGTCCAGTCCATTGAGTTCTGGCCTTCACTCCTCTTCCTGTATGTAACTGCAAGGCTACCAATAATAACCTCCCAATAACCAAAGACAAAAGCTCCTATTTCTCAGCCCATTAATTTGGGACCAGCAGATGGGATAATGGTTTTGTCACTGGACTCCCACGTAGTCAACTGCGGTTCAAGTCCTGGACCCAGTAGCTTAAAACTCAAGCCAGGTGTGTGTATGTGTATACCCAAGATCCTGAGAGGAGGATGGAGTGGAAGGGATTGCAGTGTGGCCATCCCCCATGGAGGGAGTGATTTCTCACTTTCTGTCTCTCTAGTGAGAACACGTACCCTATAGCAACAATCTCTCTCTCCAACAACAACCAAAAGAACTCGCTTCTCAGGGGCTCCCATGTCATTTTGTCTTCTTTCATGTCTTTGCTCCATCTTCTGGGTCTCTGCATTTATGTCTTTTCCCCACTTACGTCCTAAATGTAGATGTTGTCTGAGCTCTCTTATTTCTCATATAGAGGTGGTTCCAGGCATTCTCCTCTTTAATGATTTCAACCTAATGCTGAAATCTAAGGCTTTACCTATGTTAAATGATAACCCCGTTTAGCTTTTGTCTCTCTCCTTAGATACAAATTTGGGTTTCCAGCTGCCCAGTTAGCCCTCCATATGAACGTTCCTCCAGAACCTCAAACCCAGAATGGCAGAAAGCAGATCCTGTCTCCACTGCCCAGTCTGCTGCTCTCCAGTGTTCCCTTTCACGCTCAGTCTGTCATCTTCCACTCCTCCCCCTTTGTCACCTCTTCCTTCTAACTGATGTCAGGTTCTATTGAGTTTACTACTATAGCATTTCTCCTATATAACCCTTTTAAAAAATTGCTTTAGGGCAGATGCATTCTCCAGAGAGTTAGAGGGAAACTGAGAAAGCAAACTCCCTCTCCTCCCACGCCCCACCCCGGGAGGATGACCACACCACAATCCCGTCTCCTCCATTCTCCTCTGGGGATTTTGGGCATGCATGTATACGTACCTGGCATATATTTCAAGCCACCAGGTCCAGAACTTGAACCATGCAGTCAGTCATGTGGGATCCGGCTGCCTTAACCACTACACCAGCTAGCTGGCCCAAAACTTTCCCTTGACATTTCTACTGCCCTGTGTGAGTGATTCCTCACTTCTCATTGGGACGGCATCACCTTCCTAACTGCTCTTCTTGCTCTCAACATCTCCTCAAACCCATCCTTCATGGTGCTACCAGAATAGTCACCTTGCCCCCAGCTTTACTAAGCTATACCTGACAAAGCTGTATATATGCACGGAGTACAACATGATGTTTCAAGACACTTACACATTATGAAATGATTAAATCAGCTAATTACTAAATACTTTTGATCATGTCATTGCCCTCCCCATTGGCTGTTTCTTACCCTATAGACTAAAGTCAAAACACATCATTTAACATGGCATTTCTACTTCCCAGATTAAGTGCAGACTACCTTTCCTGCCCTGCTTCTCCTTAATAAAACCTCAGAGCCTGGGGCCGGTGGATGGCATGGTGGTTAAGGCTCTAGACCCCACATAACCAGCTTTGTAGTTTTAGTTCCAGAACTGGTGGCTTGAAAAACACACTGGTGTGTGTGTGTGTGTGCCCAAAATCCTGAGAGGAGAATGGAGGAGAAGGGACTGTGGTGTGGTCGTCCCTGCTGGGGGTGATTTCTCACTTCTTTCCCTCTGTCTCTATCTCTCTCTGGCAAGTATACATACCCTATGCCAAAAGTCTAAAAAATAAAACCAAAAAATTCAAAAGTCTCAACCCTAGCTGTGCATTGGCGACCTGGGGCCTGGACAGTCACATTTTGATAAAAGGTATCACTGTGGGAATGTTCCTGGTTCAAGTCCAGAGACCTCTCTGAGTATACTGGGCATGTACGTGCTCATGGTTCGGGGCTGCCTGAAGCTAGTGGTGGAGTGTGGCATCAGGACCCTGGTGGGAGTGCTGTCCCTCTCTTTGTATCTCTAACTCATAGAAGAAATAAATGAATAAGCTGAAAAGATAAAGACTTCCTGGAAATCCTGCTCTATCTAGGGCTGAGGCCTGGGCAGCAATTTTATTTTAAAGCTTCCACGAAGGTCCTGATGTCAGCCATGATTAAGAAGCCCTGGGACAGCCTCAACGGACCTCTTGTGCTCTCTCTCCACAGTGCCATCTCCTAAGCTCCATGTCCTGGGAAGGGGTAGAGCACAGCCCTTGTGGGAATGGCCCCTTGACTGCCTGGAACTGAATCCCAGCCCCATCACTTACTGGTCATGGTTGTGCAACCTTGGATAAAATGTTGTTTCCTCCAAAAATCCTTGCCAGTCAGAATTCATCTCTTTCCTCTTTCATAACATTTTTTGGTCTTTGTTATTGTCCTGAGCTGGTTCATGATGAGCTCTTAATGGATGTTCATGGAATGAAATGAGCTTGTTGTGCATTTTATCATCGTTATTTGCATGCATATTTGTTCCCTGCACTAATTTAAAATTCTTTGAGGGCAAAGATTATACATGATTGGTGCAGCCACAGTTGTACAGGTGGTATGGTGCCACTCGTGTGATACCAGCCACATGGGAAGCCCAAGTTCAGATCCTGGGCCAACCCAAACATGCTAGGCATGCCTGCATGCACCCACAACTCTGGCTGGCTGGGAGGCTGGGGAAAGATTGTGACATGACAAGACCCTGTCGAGGGTATGTCTCTCCCTCCCTACCTCTCATGAAAGAAATAAAGAAAATAAACTTGTAAAAAACTACATATCATTCAACTTTGTGTATTCTTTCTAAATTTTTAAATTTAATTGTCAAATAATTTCTTATTTACATTTCATTGTTATGCAATTTTGTGGGGGGTGATATGGATTTTCTTTAACATTTTTTATTCATTTATCCATTTATTTGTTGTGGTTTTCAAGCCGCAGGATCCGGGACTCAAACCCCAGTCAGACTTGTAGAAATCCAGCACCTTAACCACCCCTCCACCTGCTGGCCCACGATAAAGATTTTCAGAGCATGCATGCAGTGTATGATAATCTAAGGATATTTATTATGCTGTGTACCTTCAATTTTTTCTCTACTAGTTTTTTCATCTTTGTATATTCTTCACTGTCTCATACATAAAAGACACTCAATAAGTTTTGAATTCCATAGAGAAACTTTTTGTTTTTTTTTTAAAGAATGCACTTAAGGCTGGCAGGTGGCGTGGTGGTTAAGGGCATTGGACTCCCACATGGCCAACCATGGTTTGAGTCCTAGAGCTGGTGACTTGCTTTCTCACGTTCTCTCTCTCTGTCTCTTTATCTCTCTCTGTCTGTCCCACTCTGGTCAAATTTTTAAAAAAATAAATAAAAGTTAAATAAAATAATTCTTTTATTTATTTCTTTTTTTTGGAGAGGTTTTCGCTATAGGGCGCGTGCGCTCGCCAGACAGACAGAGAGAGACATAGAGACAGAAAGCGAGAAATCACCCCCCAGGGGGGATGGTCACGCCGCAATCCCTTCTCCTCCATTCTCCTCTGGGATCTTGGGCACTCACGCACACGTGCCCGGCGTGAGTTTTAAGCCACCGGGTCTGGGACACGAACCACGGTCGACTACGTGGGAGTCCAGCAACATAGCCATTACGCTAACTGCTGGTTCCCAATAAAATAATTCTTTAAAAAATGCATTTCAGTGAAAGAAATAGCATCAGCTGGGTACTATGTTTAGCATTCTTTTTTTTTTTTCTTTTCTTTTTTAAAAAATTTGTTCAGAGGGTGCATGTGCTTGCTGGAGAGAGATAAAGACAGAGAGAGAGGGAGAGTGAGAAGGCAGCCCCTCACTCAATAGGAAATAGTCACACCACAATCCTTTCTCCTCCGTTTCTCCCTGCTTTTGAGATTTTGAGCACACATGTGCATGCATGCAGACACACACACACACACTGTTTCTCAAGCCACTGGGCCCAGGATCAAACTATGCAGTCATCCATATGGGATCTGGCCACATTAACCACCACATCAGGGGCTAGCCCACATTATTTTAAAATATTGCCAAGCACAACATTCAATGCAGCTGCCCTCCCCATCCCCCGGCACTAAGGTTTTATGATTTTCTAGGATCTGGATCCTCACTCTGCAACAGGAAGTTTCTGAAATGATGAGTTTCTGCAGCTACCAGTGCAATGCCCTATCACCTTGCCAAGTCTGCCAACCTGGCATGTCCACATATGGAATCTTCCATTATTTATTTATCCAAAGGGAAACAGGAACCACTACAGCTTTCCTCCATACACATCTCTAATCATAAGGGTAGCTGGATTCAAATGTCTATAGCTCGACTGCCATTTTAACTATCTTCATCTATACCCTTGAAATTCCCCTTTCCCAAAATAAATTCATGCAATGTTATTGTTTGTCTTAGGTTGATTAGATTATGATTCTGAAGCCATAAGTTATTTTACTCATATTTTCTTTTCTTTCTTTTGCCAGGAGGCAAGATGCCCTTGCCAGAGAGATGGAGGGGAGGGACATGTCCCAACAGAGATGTGGTCAGGCCACAATCCCCTTCTCCATCTCTCCATGCCATAAGATCTGGGGCAGAGGCACATGCACTAGATGTGTTTTCCAAGTCTCCTGGTCTGAACTTCCCAGTGGGTCATGTGGGATCCAGCTCCCTTAACCGCCAGGCCAAGGGGCCAGGCCTTTGCTCGTGCTTTGGCTTGCTTTGTTTATTTATTTAGGCATTATATGGCATTTTCTTAGTCAAGTAGACCCTGGCAGGCAGCTTCTGGAAGCTGACAAGGAGTCATAACTTCCACTGGGACCTCCTGTACACTTACCTCCTCTGCTACCAATTCCAGGTTAGGCCTGACCAGAAATTTGAGAACTGAAGGAAAAAGGACAATGGGGCCAGCAAGTGGCGTGGTGGTTGAGGCACCGGACTCCCACATGGTTGCTTGTGGTTCAAGTCCTGGACCCAGGGGCTTGCTTTCTCTTTCTCTCTAGGTCTCTCTGATGAGCGCATGTGCCCTATAGCAAAAATTTTAACTAATAGCAAATAAAATTAATCACTTAAAAAAAAAGAAATAAAAAGGACAGAATGGCTGTATGTCTTATTCAGTTTACCTATTTATGATGTTTAATGATTATTGTCTGTTTCCCACCTCCAAATTTAAGCTACCCCAGGGCATCGGTAGTGGATGCCAACCACCTAGAACAGTGCCTGGCACACAGTAGAAAGAAATACTGATTTCCTGAATGACCGAATGGGTCTCCCGTGCTTCTTCCTCTATGCGTGCTGAGTGACAGAGGTGGGGTGAGGGTTCAGTCTCTAGAGGTGGAGCCTTAGACCCTGGACAGGTCCCTAACCCGATGCTCTACTCGCTGCAGTCTCACCTCTGGGCGGGCTCGGGAGCACCACGCTGTCCGTGATTGGTCTACCGGAGGTGATGGGCATGAGAGATGGCGAAGGAGGAGCAGCTCTCTAAACTTCCGGGCGCGGCGGTTCGCGCAGCTAGGGGAGCCGTTGGCGTGGTGGTCGCGGGTGAGGTCCTGGCGGCCTGTGGTTGAAAGACCTGCAGGGTGAGCCGGGGTAGGGACCCCAGGGTGTGCAGGGCTGCTCGTCTAGCTCTGAAGTTTTATTAGAAAGGGATTCTGGCCGCACGCGGGAAGAGGAAAGGATGGTAGGGAGCGGGACCAGGCATGGGTGTAAGGACTTCATTGTGTAAGCAGGTAATTAATTGTCGCAAAGACCGGGGGCAGTGGGGCCCCGAAGCTCCCACGCCCAGTTGACTTTCTGATACTCCCCACACGCCCGTTTACACACATTCACTAACAATTCGAAATCTGGGGACCTGGAGGAGATGTCGCAGTGATTAAGCATGGGTTAGTGTGGCGTGTCCCTGTTTCAGCACTGGAGACCCTGGAATGGTCCTTTACGTCTCTGCTTTCCTGTTCTCTGACAGGTTTGAGCATGGCAGAAGGGGACACCTTGATATCAGTGGATTATGAGATTTTTGGAAAGGTGCAAGGGGTGTTTTTCCGCAAGTACACCCAGGTATGTGGCCCACGGGCTTTGGAGACCTATCTGGGTTATCATGGATACCAGAGACATGTTCCTGACACGTGAGTAGGGAGAGCCTGGCTATTTGGTAACCGCATGGCACAGAGGTAAAATAATAGTTTGGAGAGCAGTGAGAATAAAAACGCTCTGCAATTGGTAAAGTGTGTTCTACATGGAGTGTTCTGCTGTTATCATTGCTCGTTTTCTCACAGGGGTACCTGGGCCTCTGCACACACATATTAATGACGTTTTTCCTTTCTAAGGAGAATAGAAGGCTTTTCCAGTTCTTCCTGTTTGTTGTGGCATCGTCAAACCAAGTCACGATTTCCCTGATGGCAGAGATGGCATTTAGCTGAACAGATGACATTGTTGTGATTTATGTCACTGCTTCCTCTGGAGCTGCTGCATTACCTTCAGACCTACTTCGTGTCTCCAAACTTCACCCAATTCCCCACTTAATTTCTTTCTATTCTTTTTGGCTTTGAAAGAACCTTTACAGTTTTCCAGCTGAAGTTTTTCTCGTTAGAATTACTTTATCCATTCCAGAAGAGGTAATGATAGCCCTGAATAATAGGGAGCATTAGCCGGAGAGAGCAAAGTATTGGCAGCTTCTGCCTCTACTTCAGTTCACTAATCTCCCCTCAGCATGCACAGGTCAATGCAATCTGCACTTCCCTTCTGCCTTCTGTAGGGGCGTGTGAGGTCAGTACCTCCCCAGTCTACCTCCAGCCCCGGAGATAATGAGTTAGGGCTGCACTTTGGCACTGTGGTACTTAAAATGCAAACCAGAATCTTCAAAATATGAATGTCAGTTCCTCTGTTTCTAATTATTTGAGAATCATTTCTAACTGTTTTATACTCATATGTAAAGTGCCTGTCAAAAAAAAAAAAGACATTGCTGGGCTGACAGGTGTGTGGTGGTTAAAGAGTGGACTCCCATGTAACTGACTGTAGTTCAAATCTTGGACCTGGCAACTTGCTTTTTCACTTAACTTTTATCTCTCTTTCCTCGCATCTCTCTTTGAACAAATTTAAGAATAATAGTAACAGATAAAATTAAATAAATAAATAATTTTTTAAAAAAAGCATTGCTGAAAGTCATGGAACTATGTTCCAGTTAGCCTTGCTACCAATTACGGAGGGTAAGTTCCTGTGATTTGGTCAATGGAAGTGAAAACTTGTGATGATTAACCCGAGTTTCTTTATTAGAGGGAAAATCCCAGATGGTGGTATATAGAGCCCATCTTTACTTGAATCTCCTTCGCCCTCAGCCATCCCCCAATTTAGAAAGAGAATAAAAGAATGCACACAAGCAAGTATTGATTTGGAAAACAGCAAGGAAAATGCCATCTTTTTCTGATTAGACTTGTAGCTTATTTACTTTTTATAATCGTTTAAATATATATGTTCATTCCAGCAATTGTTTTGTTTTTGTTTTGCTGTAGTCTCTGCGTGTTGATATCATCTAGCCATTTAATTAAGTTTTATCACTCCTAGAGGAGTAGTGAATGAGAACACAGGGACTTCATTTTTCAGTTGGAATATAATTCGCATCTCATAAAACCCACCCTTTTAAAATCTATAATTCATTGATTTTTAGTACAATCATGAAGCTGTGTACTCATTCCAGAAGATTTTCATCACCCCAAAAAGAAAACCCTACCTACTAGCATTCCTCGTCCCCAGTCCCTGGCAACACTAACCCACTTCTATCTCTATAGATCTGCCTATTCTGGAATTTGATGTAAATGGAATCATATCAATGTGGCTCTTTGTGTCAGGCTCCTTTCCCTTAACATGTTTTCAAGGGTCATCCATATAGTAGCATGTATCAGTACTTTATTTTTATCGCTGAATAATATTCTGTCACATGGCTTTCTATACACCAGATTTCACTTATCTATTCATGAACCAATGGTTGTTTCCATTGGGGGCTAATATAAAATATGATGCTGTGGACATTTATGTTTTTATTGGGTTGTGAGAAAAGTCATGACACATTTTTACAAAGAAAAAAATAGGTCATGACTTTTCCAACAACCTAATATGTAGACAGTATTTTTGATGTCCTAGGGAATATGAGTGGGAACTTTAAAAAAGTTCATGGAAGAGGGGAATTAAAGTATGAATTGATTTTGGTACAAAAACAGTTTGAATTTTATGCATAGCTTTTTCATAATATGAATTTTCTATGAACTTTTTGAAGACTTTTATATACCCGAGAGTAGATTGCTGAGTCATGTAGTAATTCTGTGTTTAACTTTTTTTTTTTTTTTTTTTTTAGATTTTTGCTGTAGGGTATATGTGCTTGCCAGGGAGAGAGAGACAGTGAAATGGAAAGTGAGCCACGGATGAATGGCTGCGCCACAGTCCCTCTCCTCCACTCTCCTCTTGGGATTTTGGGGTCCATAGGCCTACACACATGGTGTGATACTCAAGCCACTGGGTCTGGACCTCAGACTGCCCAGTCATGTGGGATCCAGCACCTTAATGTCCACACAATCTGCTGGCCCCTAACTTTTTGAGAATGTCAAACTTTGTCAAAGCAGCTATACTATTTTATATTCTACCAGCAACGTATGAGCATTCCAATTGTTCTAGATTTTTGTCATTGTTACCATCTTTTTTATTATAGCCATTTTAGTCAGCATGAAGTAGTATCTCATTGTGTTTTGTTTGTTTGTTGAGTTTTCCAGTATCAGTACCTTTAAAAGGATTTAAGTCATGTAAGGAATGATTTCCAACCATAATGGAACTAACCTACAAATCAAATAATAGAAAGATAACTGGAAAATCCCCCAATATTTGGAAACTATACAATGTAATTGTTTCTAAAATTATGGTAGAATACCTATAACATAAAAATTACCATTTTTGCCTTTTTTAAATGTACATATCATTGATCTTGAGTGCATTGATATTGTTATGCTGTCCCGACCCGAGGGACAGTGGAACAGGTTCCCTGGGGGAGGGAATGAGAGATGGAACAAACACACGCATGCACACACACACAGAGTGAAGACAATATGAAGTGCTGATCAAGTCGTCCTCATCTTCTTCTTCTGTTTATTGAGGAAAAAATGGCGAGTTATATATAGGCTGGTAGACACTGATTGGTTGCCCGAAATGCAAATGAGATAGAACAGCATGAACCAATCATTGGTGTGGGTGGATCTCTCCCATTGCCTAGAAACCCAACCACTTCCGGGAGAACGGCTGGTCACATGATTTCTGAGAGAGGGTTTGCTCAGTGAGGAAGTGAAGCCTAATGGTTTCCAAGATGGTGGATAGCTCAAGATGGTGGATAGCTCAAGATGGCTTCCGTATGCAGTGCCTTCCACATGGTGCTACCATCACCATTCCTAGAACTCTTCATCCTGCCGAACTGAAACTCTACTCAGTAAACACAAAGTTCCCATTCTCCCCTACCCTTGCTGTCACAACTCCACTTTCTGTCTCTCTGAATTCTACCATTCTAGGGAGCTCATGTAAATAGGATCAACCAATTATTTCTTTTTAGGGCTCAATAATATTTTGTACATGTATATGCTCAGTGTAGTTTTGATTTGCCTTCTAATAACTAATAATATTGAGCATTTTTTTCATGTGCTTATTGGCACATGAAAGAAGATATATATCTTTTTTGGAAAAATGCCCATTCACATCCTTTGCCGGCTTATTTGTTTATTTGCGTCTTTCATTCCTTCTTAGAGACAGTCTCACTGTGTTGCTCAGGCTGATCTCAAACTTCCAGTCTTCTTGCTTCAGCCTCCTGAGTAGCTGGGATTACAGGTGCATGCCACTGCACTCAGCTTCCTTTGCCCGTTTTTTGTTTTTTTTTTTTCCTTTCCTTTCCTTTTCTTTTCTTTTCTTTAATTGCTAGACAGCTGCTCAGGGCCAGGATTCCAACCACAATTATCCATGTGGGATTAGGGTTCAAAGAACAATGTTTAACCATTGCACGGCCTGGCCTGCTTATTTTCATTGCCAGAGGAGTCTTAAACTCATCAGGGACAGAGGAAGAGGCAGAGAACACTCCCCAGTGGGGTACCATCGTGCTGCCATCCCTTCTTGTATATTATTTCTCTATCCTATTGGTGTTCAGGGTAAGCATGCACATGCCCGGCATATTTTTCAAGCTTACTGGACTTGGGGGTTTGAACTGTGTCAGCCCTGTGGGATTTGGCTCCCTTAACTACTAGATCATGGGCCAGCACCATTTGCCCCATTTTTAAAAGTTGAGTTTCATGTCTTATTGTTGAATTATAAGAATTTGTAAAATATATTCTGGATACTAGTCCCTTTTCAGATACATAATTTGCAAATACTTTTTCTGTTTTGTAGATTGTTTCTTTACTTTCTTGATAGTATCCTTTGAAGTACAAACATTTTTAATTTTCTGTGTGTATATGTTTTGTTTTTGTTTTTTGTGGTTTTTTTTTTTTTTTTTTTAAACAGTACTTCACCATGTCATGATCATCCTGCCTCAGTCTCCCTGGTACCTGGGACTACTGGCATGTGCCAATGCACCCAGTTTTTTAGGATGGACTAGAAATACAGCATAAATCTCCCATATTGCCTCAGCTTGCCAAGTAGCATCTAGTACATGCTACTGCAACTGGACCCAAAAGTTTTTGGTTTTTTTTTTTTTTTTTTTTCAGTTTTTTAGTTTTTGCTAGAAGGTGCATGCTCTTGCTAAGGGAGAGAAAGAGAATGAGAGAGAAAGTGAGAAATTATCCCCCAGGGGACATGCTATGCCACAATTCCCTCTGTCCTTCATGATTCTTTTGGGACCTTGGCACATATGCACATGTGCCCAGCACGCTTCTCAAGCCAGCAGGATTGAGGCTTACACTGCAAAGTCAGCCATGTAGAATCCAGTCACCTCAACCACCAGGCCACCAGGTGGCCCAAAAGGTTTAAATTTTGATTAAGTATAACTTATCTTTTTTTTTTTTTTAGCCCCCTTTTAAGTTGCTAAAGGGCATGTGTGC